GTGTTTCCATTACCTTTAGAAGAACTCCACAAACAAAAAAGGTTAAACCACTGCAATAAACTCATCCACTAGTGATTAGCAAATATGAAGTTCAGCTAGTCTGTCTCAATAAAACCTAGACACAAGTGCAGTGCTGTCAGAACTCCTTCATGGCCCACGTTCAATACTGAGACCCTGTTGTCCCCTATGCCATGTGCAGTACTTGGGTGACAGCTGGAAGTAGCTACAGTGCAGATAAGGCAGGAAAAGGATGCACAGCAGTGGGGGGTCTTCTGTCACCATGTGGGTGCATCAGAAGAAGGTGGTAATGGCGAGACTAGCAAACCTGCTAATCTGACCAGTAGGTCCCACCAGAATACCTGCATGAAGAAGGGATGACGTTAGAGACTTTCTAATCACCAGCAATTACAGGTGAGGTGATGTCTCACTCTCCTGGTAGGGAGCACTGTTCTAGAGAGACCACAGTGAGGCTTTTAGATTAAATACAAAGCTAAGGTCATGAACCCATGTGCCTACTGAAGAGCTGGTCTCCAAACCTCCTTTTGTAAACTTGAGTATTTTGTTGTCCTGATTGTACTCCAACTTGAAATAGTTTTATTTTATCTTTCTGAACCATTGTGCATTATCAGTTGGAGAAGACATCCTTCCCTGTTTCCTCCCCAGAACTGGTCTCTACCACAACTGAGTAGGATCCAGTAGTTTGTTTTATTTGGGTCCAACAGTTTGCTTTATATGAGTGTCAGATTAAATGATCTCTTCATGAATGCTAAAAGGTTTAACTAGAGGTGTTTACCAAACACTGCCTTACAGGCAGATGAGAGCACTGATTTGGTGGCTGTAGGTGGTGTGTGTGTACAGTTCCCTGGCTGATGCAGCACATTCTCATGCGTTACTTTGTTTAGGAGGAAATTTAAATGTAATAACCACAAAACAAAAGACAGTCCCTTCCTGGTTTACATGCTTCTCCTGACTTTGAAATTGCTGCTTTGTTCAGGTCCTTCTTGGCCAACAGCCTAGAAATAGGTATTTATCCAATAAATTTTTGCATGACATGATAAATACATGCTGGAATTGCAGGAAACTGGATGTTTGTTATTTACAGTTCCTGCAACTTTCTCCTTATTATTCACATTATGGAAGTTAAACTCCTTCCAACTGAAACAGCTGCTAGGTGGAAGCAGATTGAGACTTCAGGAAGAATTGTGTCAGTGCCTAACAGCCTGTTAGGCTTCCTATAAGCACTGCAGTAGGATCTTGGGCTTTCTGGTAGATCTGGCTTTAGCTTGCTGCTTCATATTTGTTTTGTAAAAGATTTATAAACAAGTTTTCAGAACACAAGTTTCAGAGAGCTCTCTGCGCTAGCATATGCATATTCCCCTACCTACATATGGGTATGGGAACTGTATCCTTTTTTGAATGGACTTTTTCAGAGCTGTGGGTATACTTTGGCTGATATCAAAATGCATAATATATCCTTGCCTCACTTGTACACATGTTCGTGGATGCATGTGCATAATGTGGAGTATAATTGGTTGATCGTTTCGCAGTGTCCTGATTTGCACATGCAGCTCCTAATTTCAGTCCAGCAGATGCACACATGCATTTTCATCAGCCAGTCTTTGTGATTTCTCCAAAACCAATTTATGTTGAGGGGTAACAGAATTAGAAATTGCTGATTCCCAGTGTTGAGGTCATCCTACTTAAGTTCTTTGCCTTTTAGACTAAATGATCATTTTCCTTTAGTTTTTGCTTGCTTTGGAGATTGGTGCTAATCAATAGAAACTCAATCAGTGTTTGCTGCTTTAATCTTCCCACAGAAGTGTTAGTAAATTAGCTAAAAAGAGATCAGCTGGTGAATTAGTACGAGTGAAAACTTATTTTAAAGACCTAATTCTTGAGATAGGTGACAATTTGTCACACACTGTTACATCCTCCATTTTCCCCAGTGTCCTTATTAACGGAAGAGTACCAACTTTCTTCCATGCACCCCCATCAATACAATCTGGTGTATTTGTCATGTGTGGAAAGTCGGTTTATGATTTCAATATTGGGTGGTTTTGCCACAGTTCTTGGTGATTAATGTTTCTGTAGCACCTCCATAGAGTAATGCCCTATAGAAAGCTGACTACTTTCAGAGTGGTTACCTCAAAACACATGAAGCCAAGAGTCAGTTTGCCTTTGCTCCATTGGGAAGAGTCAGAGAAAAAAGCCGTCCTTGTGTTGGGCAACTTGGAAGCTCACTGCTTCTGAGGACGTAGCAGCCGGTTTGGAATTAGTCAGCTTTCTAAGGAATGCTGGTGGGCAGTAGGAAGCCACAGCAACAAACACTTTTATATGCCAGTTATTAGCGCACAATTACTGGATCGTAACATTACAAAGGAGAGTTCAGTTACTTGTCACTGCTTTTTCATATATTCCACATACCACACCTTCTGTGCAGGATGTTTTCACAGCCTTTCGTCCTGTGCTGATGCATTTTGAAACTCATCTGAGAGCAGAGACCAGCTAAGAGAGCCTAGTCTTTATCCACTGCTGCTGACTGCACTGCCATTTCAGATTCAACATGCCTTCAGCGTAGTGAATTCTAATACTGTTTTAACAAGTTGTTGACCCCTTACCATTTTTTAAGCAATTGCTAGTATATTGAAGAAGTGTTGCCTTCAGTAGGGTTAGATCTTATGAAAAGAGAGAAACAAAAACCTTGACTGTTTATTAAATGGCAACATTTCTTCTTTTTAGTTGACCTAGTACTGTGTTATTCCCTAAATTCATCCAGCCCTGGTTCATTTTGTTTAAAGCTCCCAAATGGCCTGACTCTAACCTGTGGTTTTGGCTTGGTTAGGCAGCAGCTACATGGGTAGATGAGCAGCTTAGTCAGATGAGTTAAATACTTTTCTTTAAATTCAAACCAAAGAAACGCACATTGCATATCGCACACTTCTAGAGCTCGCTCTGTTCAGTAGAGGCTTCTCTTGCACTTTAGATCTCAGCTTATCCCTGTCACATCATGTATCAGTCTGAACATGTACGGCTCCCAGAGACTTTCACCTTCCATGCTGTTCTTTGCAGGCGATTTAATCCCATTCCCCAAGGCAGTGACCCTGTTCATATCAGTAAGGCTAGAAAATCTTCATTTTTCGCTTAGAACTGTGCCAACTATCTGACATACAGGTGTTACCTAAGTCAAATTCCTTAGAGCTGATGTGTTCCTATCAAGGCAAAGACATTTCCCATGGGGTTTTTTGTTGTTGTTGTTGGGCCCCTTCACACTTGTCAGGTGTCAGAAATAGGGCATTTGTCATAGACTGAAGTCCTTCAGAAATGAAATTTCTTATTGAAACTCTTCCCCTGCTACTCCCCCAGCACACAGATGCATTACTGATTTATATATAAGTAGGTTTAATTTTTGAGACATGGAGATAACACACTAGAAGTTTCCTGTCACTTTCCTGCTAAAGGGTGCTTTTTTTGTTCTTTTGGTATCACTTTAAAAATAGTGAATTTCTATTCCCTAGGCACTATCAGCATGCAGGAAGGCAATTCCAATGTGCTGTTTACTCTCAGGGGCTTTGAAGAACGTTCCCATACCGAGCAGTATGTGAACTCTATACTGCCTACTTTTGCTTTTGTGATACTGAATGTAGCTGGATCAATTCACTTCAGGATTCAGAATGTCACGTTCAAGGTTTCATATGTGGCAGCCTGTGTGGTGGGGCTAGGTCACACCAGTTGGTGTAGACAATGAGAAGACCTGGAAATGCATCCGCTGCATTTGACTTTCCAGCAAAATAATCCTGCTCCTGCTTGCAAATCCATTGACTAAGAGAGACCTTGAGCACACAGCCAGACCAGGGCCTGAATTCAGCTTCCACAGTGACAGTGAAGAGCTCAACAGCTCTGCCTGTGCATCCTGCTTGGATGGTGACACTGCTGCTAAGTAAGCGCAGTTTGGGAAAGGAGTTTTATTTCCTCCAAGACTCACACCGTGTCCAGGATGTGCCCAGAGTCTAAACACCAGCTGCAAACATGTATTTTCTTATCTCCCTTTCCAATTTTGGCACATCTCCACGTTGAACAATAGCCATTGGATTGTCTATTTTCTGGCTGAAGGGAGACAATGGGAGTCAGCTTGAGCACAGTTTCTCTGTGTAGATCAAGGACAATTACTGTAATAAGAGGACATTTTCAAAGAACTCCCCTTGCAGGGAACAAAAACCCCCAAGGCCATCCATGGCTCTTTCCCTGGAAGTATCAGCTTCTCCCTGTGCCCAGCACATGCTCTGACCTGCACGTGTGCAGGACGGCAGAGCCATGAAGCTGTGCCTTAGGCTCACACTGACACCAAACTGGAGTGCTCCTTGTTCACTTTGGGGTTTTGGAAACTGGTCCCTTTCAAGGACTGGAAAGGCCTCAGACCACTTACCTCTGTGTAGGGGAACGAAATGGCATTGGGAGGTGGAAGGGTAATTGAGGAAAATGAAAGAAACCTTGATAACACCAAAACTAAAAATGAGGAATTCAAAGCATAGTGGAGAGAAGGGTTCACACCACTGCGTCTGTCCTGCTGGCACAGGAGCTGGGCCACCTACCTTCTGAGTGACGAAGTTTTCTAGTGCCCCTTACCCATAGGATGTAAGGGAATGATGGAGCTGAGCTGAGATTTGCTAAGCCTGTACTTTCAGGCTAAGCAAGTCTGTCTTTCCAGACTGATATTTTAAAATTCCATACAACTTTCTTTTTATTCCCCTTTTTCCCACGCAGAGTGTGCAACTCCTGGTACAAACAAGTTTGGGGACAAAGCAGCAACACCTTCTTGCGTGTATTTCTGGGGAAATTAAGCCTCCGGGCTGTGAAAATGGCTTGGGATGTACAGTAGGTGGAAGCCTGTGGGTGGGAGGAGGCAGGAGGTGAGGCTGGTCCTGCTGCCTGCCTGGAGGCCAGCAGGGATGGATGATGGTCCTGCCGCGCTGCCTCTGCGCGGGGCCGGGCAGGGGCTGCTGGCCCTCGGGGGTGTTTTTCCATGCGGTGTCTGGTCAGGTGCTGGCTGCGCACAGGCTGGAGCAGCATCCAGTCCGGCTCTGGACGTCAGCATGGGGAGGGGGAGGGAGCCCGGGCCGGCTCCGGCGCCGTTGCTGAGGCAGCAGGAGCCTCAGCAGCATCCCTGAGAGCCAGGCAAGCAAACTCCTCCTCCCTCCCGATCTCATCTCGTCTCTCTCCCTGCTTCCTTCGCAAAGATGGCAACCGAGGGGCTGCGCGAGAACGAGACCCTGGCATCGCTGAAAAATGAGGCTGAGACCCTGAAGGGCAAGCTGGAGGAGGAGCGGGCCAAGCTGCATGACGTGGAGCGTGAGTGGGGCCGGGGTGCGAGGGACGCGGGCACCGCTGGGCGCTGCCGGGCAGGGACCGCTGCATGCCGGCACCACGGCCTGGCCTCGCCGGTGGGGCAGGAAAACACGGTGCTGGGGGCCGGAATGAGCGCAGCTGGAAGCTGGGGCCGCTGCCCGGGAAAGGCAGGAATGCCGCTCTGGTGCGGAGAGAGCTGCCCCAGCTCTGCTGTCATGACAGTCGGTTTTCCATGTTTGCTGAAGCCCAGCTGAGAACACGACTGCTGCGCTGCTCAAACAATGCACGGCTCCGTGATGGGATAAATAGGAAGCGGATGGGGAGCAGAGGCGGCGCAGCCTCCCTGGGTGTTCAGTGCCATGCAGTGCCCGCCGGGTGCGCAGGCAGTCACCCCGCAGCGCCCCGGCCGCTTCCTGCACCGCCTTTGGTGTGGGAGGCAGGAGGGAATGGACCGTGGAACATCCCCCTCGGTGGTTTCCGAGACGTGTTTGCATGGGTTTAGTGTTCATCTTAGTGGCAGAAACAACGATTAAACCCAGCCTTGGGGAATTTGGTGGGAATTCTCTTTAATGAGGCCAGGATTTCACCCAAGGTGAAAGGGCTTAAAAAGGAGCCTTGTTTCCAAAACCAGCTCCTTCTCCCCGCTCCTTCCCCAAGGAAACAACTTGCAGGGATCCAGTGCTGATTCAGAGGTGCGGGGTGAGTCAGTGCTGGAGCTGTCAATGCGTAACTCACCGTTATCAGCTGCAGTTTCAAAACCCACGGTTAACGTAACAGAAATGACATGGGCAGGTTTCAGCCCTGCCCTCCTCCCGTGCCCCCCGCCCCTGCTCAGGAAAATAAGCTAACCTTATTTTTATGGAGCTTCTAAAATATGTATTCATTCATCTGTCCTGAGATATAAAAATCCTTTCATTTTTATTATTTATTTTTAATAATTACAGTGATATCATATATTGCAGTTTAGGGTGTTTATTCCTCTGAAATCATATAACTCCCTCAATAGAAATATTAATGGGTCATTAAAACTTTTCTTTCATCTGTTTGGATGCCTTTAATATTGGAAAGGAAAATGAGCCTGATCCAGCATTTAAGCTTTCAGTGTTCTGTAAGACTGAGGGACTGGCAAACGTCCTTAAGTTTCATGTGGCGAAGATTCAGGGGTTTATTTTTCTGGAGTAAATAGAGCATTTTCTTGTTTAAATTAGACAATCACACATTATGTGAGTATCCTATTAATAGGATTTGTTAAACGAATGGAGATGTCCTCATTACAGAAACATAAATCATCATATTCCTACAGTATAATTTCTGTATCAGAAATAGTGAGGCCTCTTTAACAGACCTCTTAAGCATATGCTTAAATCCATTTTTGCTCACAAGGAGTTTTCCCTGTGATTTCAGAGACAGGGTAACTTTACATATCATTGATAGTCATAGGACATTTATGTCTTTGTCATATGTAGAATCTGTTGGAAGGCTGTGTTTACATAGCTATGACATGATTTGGAAGACAGAAATCGTATGTTGCTGTAGAACAAGGCTCCTTCAGGATATTTCATATTATTGGTTCTGTATCAGAGCTTGTTTTGCACGTATCTACAAGAACTACTTCTGCAGAGATTGGAAGTTTCAGAACAAAGCATCTCTTCTGCTTTGGTTTTGTTTTGTTGGTTTGTTTTGGTTTGGGTGTTTTTTTCTAATCTAAAATTGTATCTTGGATATTTCTTTGCTCTGATCATGATTTTCCCTCTATGGTTCCCAAAACAAACAGCTGGCTGAACTAGGATTGCCCTTATTTGTTCAACTGGTTTTGAACAGCAGCTCTCAAAAATGTGGATAGAAAAAGGAAATACCAAACATGCATTTGATTTGCAATCTCACAATTTTAAGGATTCAATTCCATTGCTTAAAGTTGAGGTGTAAAGAAAAGTTTGTTCTGTTCATACAAACTGCCAGCTTTTAAGCCCAGAAGAGACCTTTAGGACCAAATGGACTTCCAGCAAAGAAAAGGTCAAAGACCCAATAGTATCTGCATCAAGTTCCCACCTCCTGTTCAGGCCAAATGATATGTTTTAGAACAAGCAGCCCGTTTTACCTGGACCTTTGTAGAACCACTCAAGCTCCTTATTGGCTTTAGCTGATCTGCTTGCCTGAGTGCATAATTTTCAACTATCTTGAAACAATATTGGAGAATGCTTCAAAATAATTATCTGCCTCTAAAACCTGTGCTAGGCGGGTGCAGGATTATTATGGCTGTGGTTGGAGATAAGCGTCCTCAGAGAATCAGAAAGGCTAAACCAGACAATTCCAGCCTCAGCTGCGTTGACATAATGGGAACACTTTGTCCATTGTCTGTGAAACGTTTGTTTTCTCAGACATGTTCTGGACACAGGCATCTTTCCAGCTGTGACGATAACCTCCTGTCCTATGTTTTCATGTCTTTTGATTGGATCATTTGGCAGGTTTCCACGGGTGAAAGTAGAGGGAATGTATCTTTGCTCAGTGGATTGGTATGCTGCTTTCTCAGAAACTTGCTTCTGACCTCATGTTAGAGATAGCGGGAACAAATTGTCAAGGATGGTGAACAGTATTTGTCCCCTGGCTGGGTTAGACTGGTTGAGCAGGTAAATACATCACTCCAGCACAGCCTGTGGGGCTGGTGGTTTTGAAAGGCAACTGGTGAGAAGCTGATCTACTGGAAATCATTCTCTGCCTTAGGCAGAAGTTGTTCCCCTGACCCTGGGCTGTGAAGGGAGCTCAAAGTTAAGGATGCCTGCTGTTGATGTGCCAGCCCTTCCTTTCTTGCAGTGCTAGAAAAGTGGCACAGCATGAAGCAGCAATGCAGCTCCAGAGCGATCACCTGCCATGTGGCTTGTGGAGCTCAGCCTCCAGCATGGTACCGAAAAACTTTGTATTTCCTTCACCTTCCCATTAAAGCATGTGAGCTTCTGCATTCATTTCAATTATTGAGTCAGACCTTGCCCCCTTAGCTAACAGCAGCTGGATCTTCTTAGGTTTGTGTGTGGACAAACAACACAGGTAAGCACTGGAGCCTAAGAGCTAAGCTCTGCTCTAGACAGAGTAATTTTCAATTCTGGTGCCTCGGGACCCCTGCTCTGCTGTGAGACTTCACCCCCATCAGACAGTGGTACTCAGCGAAGTTCCTTGCCTGCCTGTTGGGCCTCTTTCCCATAAAAGAAAAAGCTGACTAACCCATGAAGTCATTGATGTCCATAGACGCTGTTGAGAAGTTGGGTAGCACACTTTTATGGTAAATGCCAAGCTTCCCCGCTCACTCAGAGCTGTCCTGGCCCTCAGTGCTTTCCTGGCCACCAGAAGTGATGGCACAGCAGAGAAATCTCCAGCAGCAGTGGCTAGTACCAGTATCGCACTGCACCAGTCTTGAGGTACTGAAAGGTGATGGCAGCTGGGAGGCTCACATCTAGAAGAAATGTTTTATCATAGAAACTTTGGAGAATTGATATTATCCCCTTCTTTTTTATGATTTCTTTTTGTCCAAGATCCATTAGTGAGCTTCACTTCTGAGTACCTTGAGGCATGTGTTAGGCTGGAGGCTGGCTGTGCACTTTCAAGCTTCAGCTAGTTTAAGGATTTCTCAAGTAAGAGGGGCAAAAGGGTAATCTGTTTTCCAGTTTTACTTGGGTGTGATGGTCTGCAAGAGATGCTACAGCTCTTGAATTTCAGCTCTGAGTGAATTCACCCTTATCTTTGTCTGGTAAATATGTTCATACACTGCTCACCTTGGTTTTACTACCTGCCAGCTCTGAAGCAGAGATCATTGGCTTGCACTATAGACTCAAACTTCAGGGATTACTCCCTCCAAGTAGCATTACTTGTAACAGAGAGATTTACCAGGGAAGAGCTTTGATGCAGGGCTCTCTAACCATCAGCTGTTTGCAGTTCATCAGGTGGCAGAGCGTGTGGAGGCGCTGGGCCAGTTTGTGATGAAGACCAGGAGGACCCTGAAAGGCCATGGGAATAAAGTTCTCTGTATGGACTGGTGCAAAGATAAGAGAAGAATTGTGAGCTCTTCCCAGGTATGCTGTTGGGCAGCTGTTTCCAAAGCTAGAGTTGGGCACTATACAAATCTTCTGGCTGTGCTATGTGCCACTGTTCGCAGATGACACCTATGTACAGTGTAAATGTTTTCAATGTGCCATTGAAGCAGTTCATTGGCCATGTATTTGTTTAGAGAATATAAATCCAAGATCATCACTACACCTGTTGTAGCTAATACCCTAAATATTTCTTGTCCAGTCATATAGAAGTTTTCCCCATATTCCGTGCTACAATAGAAAACAGAGCTCATCTGAGGCCACTTCTACTTCCTTGCTCTTTACAGATTAAATATTTAGTAACTATATCAGTTTATGTGTTCAGAGAAAATAACCAGGAAAAGGGAAGTGTGAAAAAGACTTCTGTGCACAGAGATTTCATCTGCAGTCTGTATGTTTGCTGCAGCCTTAAGAGCATCAAACGTCCTCCCAAACTTACTGCTTTTACTTGGGCATGTTGAGAAATGGTCTTAACACCTGCTCCAGACCAGTCTCATGAGCCGGAGGAGGTAATGAGATGATTACTTTCTAGATCCCCTGGTTCATCCTGAGCCCAGTATGGCAGTGAGTGAGCTCGTTGCATCTCACAGCTGTTCATTGACCTATATGAAATCTGTCAGGGGTCTCACTTGAGGGATAAAAATAGGCAATCTGCATTGCAAGCCACCTTCAGTTACTGCGAGTTTTTACCATTCATGGTGATCTCAACACAGAGTAATTGTAAATAATTGATGTCACGTTTTCTGAAGTGGTTAAAATGTCAGTGTGCAGCTCAGAAAGCTGAACAAGGCAAGCTGTAATGCAGTTTAGAGTTTTTTACTCTAGTTAAGAACCATAGTGAGTCCATGTACGCCAATAATGGTTGCTCAATAATAAACATTTTGCTTTTGTGATGCAGGGAGGATAACAATATTACGTACATGAGGCATTATGTGTATAGCTGGCATACACAAAGCGCTTGTGTTGCTCTCTGTGGAGGGTTCTCACAATGGCAATTTAGCAGATTGTATCAATGGTTAACTGAAAGGTAAGTAAGTGTAGAGAGAAGGGAAAACCAGGGAAATACAGGAAAAGGAAGATGAATAAACCATGTAATGTCCATAAATAGTCCCCATCACAGTTCAATAAGTGATTTGTAACACAGGCCACCTCTTGTATTTGTAATGCTCTCTACTGGTCCTGCCCATCCTGCAAGTGAGAGGGTTTCTCATAGACCCACTAAAAGAGAAGGGGATGAGGGGAAGGGACATTAAAAAAAAACATCTTTTAAGCCAACATTAGTCATCTCAGTGAGAAGGAAATACACCTTTCTTCTGGCCAAAGGCGTAACTGGCACTAGTGAGGAGTGTCTCCTTGATGCTTCACTGTCACCATTGTGCCATTGTTAAAATGGGGATAAAAATTTAATGACATAACAGACTGGGGGATGGAATTGAGCAGCAGGGTTTTCCCATATCTAGGAAGCAGTCTGACAACTATGTCTCTGGAAGGCCTCAGTTTCTCTCTCTGTGTGCTTTCATTTAGGATGGGAAGGTGATCGTATGGGATTCCTTCACTACCAACAAGGTAAGTGAAGCTTCAGCTGAAGTCTGATTCCTGTGCACAGGGGAGATGACAGTGGGATAAGATGGAGGGCTGAGGGCTCACAGGTGTCACAGGATAACATATAAACCTCCCCCAGCACATTGAACCAGGGGTTCCAGGGCAAACCACCTCCCTTGACTTGTCTCTGAGCAAAGCCCCTGTCAGGGCATGGGAGCTTGCTGTGGTGTCAGTGGGAGGCTCCGATCCAGGCTCTTTGCTGAGAGGGAGGGATTCCAGCTGGGGACATAGCCCATCCAGCAAAGCAGAGGCCCTCCCTGAGTAACCCCATACCAGGTGCTATATGTGGTACCAGGGATCCTTCAGCTGTGGTGTTCACTGTGCAATGGTGCCACTGCTCCTCCATCTCCTGCCAGGGAGGAGCAGTGGCAGAGCCCTCATGGCTCCTGCTCCATACAGCTATGAAAAACAGCTTGTCTGTAACTCACTTTTACAGTGCAGCACTGGGACATTTTACAGCACTGAGTAACCCAAATAAAACATGCTCTTTGATCAGGTTGGGGTGCGTGAATAAGGTGGCAAATGTCAGGACTGCCCATCCTGCTGGGTTCTCCGTAAGGGCTGTCCCAGCCTTACGTGTGAGTTATGGCTGGGGGAAACACCTTTCACTGCCCCTCAGGATGTCCCACAGAAATAACTGAACCTGCTACTCTACACTGTTTTCCTTGCACTGACTAGAGAAACAGTGACATCCCAGTTTAAAGAGATGCTGTGTTTCAGGAACATGCAGTGACGATGCCATGCACCTGGGTGATGGCGTGTGCGTATGCTCCCTCTGGATGTGCCATTGCTTGTGGGTAAGTTCCCTGTTCCCACAGCTGCTTACACAAAGGAGTTAGCTTGATTGGTAGTGGTGACCTTGTGCCTTTAGATGCTGACAGCTAGAAGTTTTCATGCCTTGGTTGTGGGTGGAAGGACTACATTCAGTGCCTCTGATTCTATTCCCGTAACGGCTCGTACATATTATCTCCACTGACTTCAGTGCAATAACATTTGTTGTGTAAGCATGGAAAATAATCCTCTTTCAGCATTTATATCATGGATTAAGAATTCTGCGTGATTGCAACTTCTCTGTTCCAGTTTGGTTATGTGTTGAATATATCTTCTAAAGGAGAGAGGTTTTAACCGTGGTCTTACTTTGTACTTTTTCTTCTATGGCACAGACATTAGTTGTGAATGATAACCAGCACGTGAATAGATCTTGCCAAGATGGGGTGGGGAGAAGTAACTCCATCCTTTATAATCTGCTCTAAGTTTTCTGAGGACTCAGGTTTGAAAATACTGAGTTTATGCAGGGGAGGAAATAAAGATGAAATGTTGGCAAAGCATCTTTTCATAAGAGACTGGGTGGATCAGACAGACAAAGCAAGCTTGGGGCAAGAGAAAGGAACAAAGGGAGACTTCACTGTGCAGCTTGCAAATCCAGAAAGCAGCAGGCTGAGACAGACAGGCTGACTCCACAAATGTGTGTGGAGAGGGAGTCCGGAAACAGGATGGCTTTGATTGAATCTCGAAGAATGCCAAGAAAGCTCTGTCTTCATACTTGCAAGAGAGACAGTGAGGGCACGCATGCATTGCACTACCTAATTCTGTTTCTGCTGTCCTGTCAGTTAAGTGCTGTGCACGTAATACAAGGCACAGAACCAGCACTGGTGGTGTGCTGAGATCCCAGGGACCATGGCAGGGCTGATCTACCACGGCTCTAGAAAGGGGTCAGACACAAGACAGAGCCTTTAGAAAAGACTCCTGCATTTGGCCTGGGAGACACGTTTCAACTGGTGCAACTGCCCAGGAAGGACATGTCAGCTATAGAGATCAGTGCTTCTGCTAGAGCCCTGTCTTCAGCCCCACTACTTGCTATACCATCTCTTCCATAGGAGTTAGGTTAAATTTTTCCAAGGTAGTTAACTAATGATGTTTTACTACTGATGCTCAGTGACAGATGTCAACAGAAAGCCGGCAGTTTGGCTCTATGTGAAACGACCCCTGAGGTGACTGCTCTGTCACCTCCTGGGTTATACTTTGGTGAGGTTTCATTCAGTGCCATTTATAAACTCCACGAGGGTCAGAAATACCGGGCGCAGCTGTTGGAGTTCTGTAAAGCAGCCAGGCTGGTGAGGCAGCTGGGGCTTCCCTGCGCAGGGAGATCCCGGGCAGCACAATACAGGGAAGTCGGTACTTGTAAGGGTTTGGCAGCACAGCACTGACAGGTGGTTTCCTTCTTATCACCACTCGCCTTTTGTCGTTGCAGTTTTAACCAGTTCTACCCTCTCTTTGTTATTGCTATTATTGCTCTCTTTAGTGGCCTGGACAACAAGTGTTCTGTGTACCCTCTGACATTTGACAAAAATGAGAATATGGCTGCAAAGAAGAAATCGGTTGCAATGCACACAAACTACTTGTCTGCCTGCAGCTTCACTAACTCAGACATGCAGGTAAATGCATTCCCTACCCGCTGCTCGCTGTCATGCAACACTTAACACGAGCTGCACTCATATGTGATGCAAGTCACCTTCCTTGCACTCAGGGCACCCAGGGCCATGTCCTGCTCCATGCAGGGGCTGCTGGAACACCCTCGCTGAGGGCAATGAAGGTGCTGCAAAAGCTGCTGTAAGAAGATGCTTGTCACAGCCCACAGCCAGGCTGTGATCCCTGAGCTTCCACAGAGGGAGCTCACTGGTACCTGTGTGTTCTCTGCTCACTGGGTCTGTGCTGGCTTCTGCTTTTAGGAGCAAAAACTAACACAAGTAGTTAAAACCCCAGTTTCACCAGGACTAGGCTGGGTATGTGCTGTGCTAGCCGATGGAGACTGTTGTTTGCCTGCTTTGTCCTGGGCATTCAGCCCACTTTTGCTTCAATTCTTAGTATTTTTGTTAAGTGAGATGTTCGAGGTTGAGGATGGCCCTGCAGGGCCAGCCCTGTGCTCCCTATATGCAGTGATGTGTTCCCTTGAGGAAAAAGAGTGATGCTATCCTCATCTGTCAGCAGGGAAGGTGGAGCAGAAAGGCCCACGGTGGGAGACAATGGCAAAGCTAGGAACTAAATGCAGATCTTCTGAGACCAGGGCAGCCTTCCTCTGTAGTGAATATCAAAGATCTCTTTCTCCAGGAGCATGAAAGATGATGAAAGCAGCCAAGATAATTCACTGTCCTCTCTGGTTTTTGAATTTCACTGAAGCTCTGCTCAGTGCAGCTCTGCAGCAAAGTAAGTGGCAGAAGAGAGCATTTTCATTGCTCTCTGTGTCAGCAGAGCTGCTGGAAAGGGAATACCTTGTCCCTTTCTTCCAGATACTTGGAGCTTTACTGAAGGAAATATCAGCTTTCATTGCTTCTATTTCAGGACATGAGATGCCCAAGAGCATGTTGTTGTTTGTCGTTCTATGGTGCCTGCAGTGACTCTGAGGTGCTAATTTAAGTGCATTGCCATGGAAACAAGTGGTGGAGGTACCCAGTGCTCAGGCTTGCTTAAGCCCTGACCTTACTGTGCAGGAGCCTGGTGTAATTACAGCAGTCTAAATTAAGTGGAATGTTTCTGATGAGATAGAAAATCAGTATTTGCTTTCCTTGTCCATATTTATATGCATCATGATTAAACCCTATGAAAGGAGAAAGAATTATTTTTCATAGAAGAAACAGAAAGAAAAGTTGGGTCTTTTTTTTCCATATTAAATACAGAAATCTACATTGATATTGAAGGTAATGTATTGTTACTGTTAAATAATACCACAGAGGACTTAGATGCTTTATATTCAGTGATTCAGAGATTTTTCTAAAGACTTTAAAAAGAAAACTTCTTGTGACTGATAGGCTTACAAGTGATCATTTATAGCACTGTATGTTGCTATTGAAACAAATACAAACAAGTGGGTTGGCCAAGCTTCTGTCAGAACACTGTTATGTAGGGGATCCTAGAGAATCCCATGTCTTATCTTTTTCCTTTTACTTAATGCCCCCCAAATTAAGATTACTCAGTAACAATAAGGGTGCACAGTGCAATGAGCACACTGTGCAGGAGCTTTCTCACCTGTGTGCAGAGCAGCTCTGCTCTCCCTGCTTGCGTCACTGAGGGATGTGGTACCTTGTCCTGGAGCATCCCTAGCACGTGGCAGAGGTCCAGCACCCACTGCTAGGTGGTGTGAATGCTGCTGCTCCGCCGTGGCTGCTCTCTTAAACTACGGCTCGGTTTTTCCTCAGAGGAATGAAAGACAGGAGTTTAGGAGTTGGTGTGCCCACGGGCAGTGCAGTGGAAAGAGAGACGCAGGGTGGTTCATTATTGATTAAAGCCACTCTCAGGCTATGTGAGCGCTGAGAAATGGGGTCCCATCCTTGCTCCTCATCATGTTCCCACCTGGGCCAAGACAAGCGCTGAGCCGCAGAGCTGGGTGACCTGCACCGTGTTCTCAGTGCCCCAGATCAGCCTTGCCAGAGAGAGCCTCCCCTCCCTCAGTACACAGAGAGCCTCGCTTCCTAAATTAGGTATGTGCAGCTCTGCGGTGTGATAATGCTCCCCACGTGACAGGGCTCCATGTGTATTAATAGCAGCAGTTAATTGGGATCTCAAGTGTTTTGCATAGGCCTGGTGGACATACTGCCAGTGCGCCTGGGCTGAGGAGCAGGATGAAGCCCGTGGCGATGGCGGAGGGGGCCGAGGTCAGGCTGGCCCCTCTGCCCTCACCGCTGCTCCCAGCCCTGCTAGGGGCTGTGCCCTCTGCAAGTGCTGCCTCTTGCCACCAGGCGCCAGGCAAGGATCCTCACCCGGTGCTGCCGGAGCCCCTCGTGCAGCGAGCGGGAGGCTGGTAGCAAAAGGCTGGTAATTTCCTTCTGGGCTTGGATGTTTTGAGTTCTTTTGATTTGGTTTTCAACAGCAATGCCCTGACGTTAAGTCCATAACCTTTGCCTTTAAGCAGTAGCTGCGTTGCCAGCAGACCCCTCCCTTACTCCTTTAGCTATTCCTATTCCCCTCGTATCTTTCTTACAAGAACAAATCCTCAGGGCTGGGAGTCTTCATTCCTCAGCCAAGTACAAATATTCCTCAGAACAGGAACGTTCACTGATCTAGGCTCAAAAGCTGGTCAGAAATACAAGTCAAGACTTTCCTCTGCTATGATCATCTCGGTGCATCCGAGACTCTCTACTGCAGGATTCAGAACAGTTTGTTCTGCAGCTTTGCAGACTGCTGTTCATGGGAGGAGTTTTTGGAGCACCTGTCAGACATGTTCAGTGTTTAACCTTTGTGCAGCTCCGTGAATGGTTTCGTGATTGCCTGATCATTTTCTTCTTGATGAGTACTTTCTTGCTAATTTCTAACTACCCATTGCGGTCCCTTGAGTTCTCTCACCGACCGTGGGAAAAACCTGTGTACAAGGCTGAGAGCTCTCCTGCGTTCACACTTGCCTCTTCCACGCCAGTGCACAGGGGCTCTTTCACCCTTCAGAACCTGTAATTGTATAACAGCTTTGGGTGCCAATGGGGAGTTTTGAACAATTGACCATCATCAGGATTTAGGCACAATAACAAGCCCTGATCACAAGCGCTGTAGCACATGAGGGAAGCTGGGAGCTGGGTTTGATCAGTGTATGCTCAAGCCGTTTCACACGCAAATGGTTTTGGACAAGTGAGAGGCGATGGGCTTAAAAACAACTGTCTAGACAGGCTTACTTCCCTTTCAGAAAATCCATGCCTTAAGCCCAATTAATTGAGGTTAACCTGGCTATTTCAAGCAGAAAGAAAAACTTAGGAAGCCAAACAGGTATACTTGACTGCAACAGTTCTGCTCTTTACCCAGGTTGAATTACAGCAGCTTAACTATGGATAGGGTGAACTACAGGGCAGACAGGAATACCAGTCTGGTTCTACCTCGTTTTTGGAGGATGTGGAAATGCCAGCAGATCCTTATTGCTATCAGTTCTCCAAACCCACTGCATAAAGCTGACCATTATTGAAGCTATGAAGATACAGCTGTCCTTTCCACTCTAACTTCTTTCCTTAAAAATAAAAGCCATAAACTGTGCTTAGGTTCACATTGAGTTTATGGATTTGATTTATTGCATGTTTCATTAAATTAAAGCTGTTCTTGGTGTGTTTATAGGATGTCACTTGTTTGTGAACTTGCAGATCATCTGATTTTTGCATTGTGACTCTTCTTGCCACATCCTATAGATCCTGACAGCAAGTGGAGATGGAACTTGTGCTCTGTGGGATGTGGAGAGCGGGCAGCTTCTACAGAGTTTCCATGGTCATGGAGCTGATGTCCTGTGCCTGGATCTGGCCCCTTCTGAAACAGGAAATACTTTTGTCTCTGGGGTAAGCAGGAGCTTCCTATCATAATATAAAATTTAGGAATGTGTAAAAGGCAGCAAAGAAGGAGGCTCGTGATCTTATTGAGAGAGTGCTGGAGTGTGTGTTGGAAGCCCTAGTGCAATCCATTCATTGCAAGCACATTTTCCAAGCTGGAGCAAATTAAACCCCTGAGTGTGGGGTCAAACCCACCCAGCCAGTCTGACTGCAGTTCTGCTTACTTAGCAAATTCCACCCCACACCAAAGCAATGCAGCCTGACATCAAAACAATGCCTCTGCGGGGCAGGGAAAGGCTCAGAGTTAGAGCAGTGGGCTCGAACCACAGCAGAGGTGTGAGCCCCTGTGGATAGGAGCCTGGCACAGCAGATGACTTCCCACATTTGGCTGCTCTCTGGTGACCAGCTCCCTGGAGCCAGACGGGGTGTGCCAGGTGGCTGCTCAGGGCATCGAAATGGGGCCACAAATAACACGCGTGCCACTGTGTCCCTCAACCGCTTCCCAGAAGCCAAGAGGTAGCTTGGATGCTGGTAAACCCAAGTACAAGTTGGAGCAAGGAGAGGAGGTGTGGCCACATCTTCAGCTGTTGTTGAGTCCCCTGTGCCTTCCAGCGGTACCAGAGGTATTTAAAGCCCCTTCATCAGTGGAGCACTGCCCGCTCCCTGTCCCGGCCCAGAGGAGCACACAACCCTTGCTGGGGCTGCCGCACTGCTCCAGGAAAGTACCTGGGGCATCTCCCACATCTTGTCCTGCTGCTGAGGGATCACTGATCCAGGCAGCTGAGCCATTGGCATGCAGCCTGGCAGTGAGGCAGGCAAGGCATAGGTGGGATGGGGTCAGCTCCTTTTTGAGGTGGTTCTGGTCTTCCCACATCAGAGTGTGCTGGTGAGAGCCGGCAGGAGCTGAGATGACCTCTGTTACTGAAGGCAGGCTACTACCAGTCATTTTGCTGAAGGTACCTGGTTTCTGAGCCCCACCAGCACTGGCACAGGGCTGGTCCTGTGCTTGCTTATGGAAACGGCCCTTGGTGCCAACTATGGATTAGGGGATTCCACCTGTGCTCAGCATCATGGTCCCATCACTGCACAATAAACCTGGGCCTTTTCTGTTCTGGCTCTTCTGTCACATTTGGCTGGCCCATCAGGAGCAGATCCCAGCACACTGGCCCAGTTTGCCTGCTGCTAGCACAGCTGCTCCGAAGCGTGACTGAAAGCTAATTCCATCCAAATGCATTACTCCTCCCAGGCTTTCCTGTCACCGAGCTTGCTTCCCAGAAAGGATAGATTCATTCTCCCTAAGAACAGCTCAGCTTATTATAGGGCAAAGAATCACAAGCAGCTATGGTACTGCTGAGAGAATATGTCATACTTTGTAGATGTAGCAGCTTGGGCATGTCTGTGCTTACAGGGACTTGCTTAATTCATCACATGCAAAATACTACTTCAGCGAAGGTCTGTCTTATACTGTGTCAATGCAGGTAGAGCCAAAACAGAGCAATCTGAAGGTATGGTGGCATGGAGAGACTCCCTATGCATTGTGCCTACATAATACAGTAACCTTAAGCTGAAATAAACAATGCCAATACATCAGCGTGTGGATTGGGTGCTGTTATACTCAGTGAAAATCCCAGCCCTCCTGGGAGAGCTCAGGGCTCTGTCCTGGGCTCAATGCCCTCAGGGTGAGCAGGATGGCACTCAGGGGTCCCATCTCTCCACAGACGGTCGCTGGTTTCTCCTTCAAAACCTTAGGAGACAAATCACCAGCTTGTCAGACTGGTCTTGCCCCCAAACTCCCAGAGAGATCACTATGAACAGTGCACATGGAAGCAATACAAAGGGCTGGGTTTGGGCTGTGGCAGGGCTTGAGAGGCAAATATGCTGAGTCTAGAATGTTCTCTATCGTGTTTCATTTCCTGTGTGCAGAAACCACAAGCTGGTACAAAGGAACATTGCCTCTTTTAAATATGACATCATTAGTAGAAAACTGGGATTTCATTTAACAGGAGAATTAAAAAAGAGAAAAAAGATGTGGATTGTGAAGAGACTGTTTAATTTAATTAGCAATCATATTTGCTTAAAAATAAATGATGTGTGGTACAGTCTGTTGGGCAGGACACGCTTGGCAGAAACAGCAATGTCCTGACCTGCCCCATGCTTCCACACGCCTCAGAGAGGCTGAGCTCCCCAGAGCTGAGCCTACCTACAGCCTGCCCCTCAGCAAGGGCATATCTGTTAAAATCTCCTGATCCCCTTGAAAGACCACCACAATTGTTACAGCAGTTCAGACACTGCAATTGAGACATCCCAGTTCAGACCGTGACCCTACAGGTAAGAAGAGATGGTTCCTGCCCTGAGGACACTGCAGAGTACCTGGGCTGAGCCCCTTGCCCAAAGCATTCAGGGTGTTGAGCACCTCATAACAAGCACTGAATGTTAAATGGTCTTTTCAAAGCATTGCTTGGAAGGTTAACAATGAGATGTTAAAATGAGATGTTAAAGTGCTGTTATGCTTCTTTTCTCATCCCAAGCATACCATTGAGCAGTGGTTGCAGAGCCACAGCAGGGGTTAACTGGTAGGAGACTGCAAGAGACCCTCCAGATACACTTATTTCATTTTCTGTTTCAGTGTATGAAGAGAATTAGTTATAAAACTTTAAATGCTGCATATTAATTTTTTATGCTGGCTATGTTAAGTGGTAAGGGAATGAGTCAGTAATGTAGCTCTGTGGGATGGTGGGACTGCAGGCACAGGTACAGCAGCAGCACAAGCACAGCAAGGCTGTGAGTGCTGGTGCTGGTTAGTATGGGGCTGCCTGTGCACCCCATGGCCTGTCTGCACCCCGCTATGCTGCATGGCAGTGCTGTGCCCTTGCTGGTCTGCAGCACCACTGAGGCTCCAGCCTTGGTAGCATACTCTGCTCCTAACTGCAGCTGTATCAGGCTTGGGGTACCAGTACAGCCAGTTCTGGGGCTGCTTTGTTGGTTAAATCCCCTCAGAGCAGTGATGTTCTGGGCCTTTTCATGTAGCCAGGCTTGATGACATGGATCAGACACATGAGTGATGAATGTCACCATTTGCACGGACATAGTGAATTTTTTTGTCTTATTAGGGATGTGATAAGAAAGCCATGGTTTGGGATATGCGGTCCGGTCAGTGCATCCAGTCATTTGAAACCCACGATTCAGATATCAACAGTGTCAGGTCAGTATGTTTCTGGGAGAGGACACATTTGCGATGTTGAGCAATGTGCTCCTTCTATTTTTGAAGTCTGACCTCATCCAAGTAATGTAATGTAATGTGTTCTGGTCTTTTTTTACTTGTGCACAGATACTACCCAAGTGGGGATGCTTTTGCCTCTGGTTCAGATGATGCCACGGTATGTCAATTCCTATATATAAATAAATACAAGTAACCTAATTTAGGAGAGTTCTGCTACTTCCTGAGTTTGATTTTCCTAAAAGACTGGGTCACATCCACAGAGGACTTGCCTGTGACACCAAAGTTGCAGAAATACTGTTATGTAATATGGTAAATATATTAATAATAATAATAAAATTATGATATACATTCCTATTAATGCATGATATTTATTAATATTAAGATAACTGGTATATATAATGCTGTAGGGGAAATCTAGTAGCACTTTGTAGGTCACCTCTGCAAACTTTTCTACATGAGTTTCTGTCCAAATAAGTCATTTCAGATTTTCTGTGTTTTGAAGTTTCATGATCAGAATTACTTGTCTTACTGGAAGAGATTTGGCTTTCTGTAGCTGTTGGTCACAAATGGAAGGAACCAGATGAAATGCTGTAGCTTGTGTCAGAAGCAGCAGCACAGTGCAAGGATATAAATGGAGCCTGAACATGAGTGCACGTGTCTCAGCAAGCAGAGAGGCAGTGGGCTTAGTGCAGAGCTGAGCAGACCCTCTCAGCACTGTGCACCCTGAGACCATGGTCCAAGGGTGGCCTTGGCCATGTACGTCTCCTCCCTCTCAGCCTGAGTCACTGCCAGGTCTTCACTGTGGTGAATCACCACATCTAGGTTGTCCTAGATGATCTTCCTTATCTATGAGCAAGCTGCTAGGAGGGGCACAGTATGTATTGACAGGTAACTGTGATCAGCACATTGTATGCAAAATGCCACTTACCTCTTGGTGCCTCCGGGCCCCTGAGTCATGCACAGGGCTGGTGGCTCTTCCTGCTGGTGGTGGGTCCCCATGGAGGACCAGGCTCTGCCTGTGCCACAGCCCTGCAGGGACTGAGCTGGCAGTTCAGTGTATCTCCAAGGCAGATGTTTGGGGCGCAGCTGGGACCTTGGTTTTTTTTCTGTTTATTCAAACATCATAGAGTTGCATAAGGATGAACACTTTATAAAAGTACTCAGCCCTCATTGCATGTTTTGAGTCTACTGCAATACTAGCTAAGCTCAATAGAATCATTCCTTGTGCCTTCACTGGATGTAGAGGTGATCTAAGGCTCTTCTGGAGAGAATGTACACTGCTTTGGGGTCTTAAAAGCTGTGATTATAAATTAATACCTCTAGCTCTGTGGTGAGCACAGTGGCTCTCTGCACATTCAGGTGTGGTACCGACATGCTGAGGTAGTGAGGTGGAGAAATTGTCCATTATGAAATTCCAATAAGAGCACTCCCTTTTATGCCCAGTCCCAGTGCCACAGGCTCTTATTGATTTATTTGATTTTTTCCCCTCTCTCTTAACTATTCCTGACACCCCTGACTTGAGCAGGAGAATGGGAAATTCCATCTCTGTACTTTTGACAGAGGTTTTGACAGTTTCCATTTCTATAAATAAAGGGGTTGGTGTTCTCAGTGTATATCCTGATGCACTGACAGGTATCCTTGACCTGATCTGCATGCTTAGGGACTTCAAGGAACAGTTAATCCTGACTGTCTGGAGGGAGACCGTAAAAGCATGCTCACGTGGCAGTACTGTCACCTGCGGTGACCCCAGCTCCCTATCAGGACAGCCTGATGGAATTATTCATCAACCTGGAGCACTGGAGACCTGGACTTCACATACCTGGCAGCTCCCCACCGCCCTGCGAATGAAACAGCCTCTCCTTTATGTGCAGGCTTGAATAGCAGCCATTTTTTATTTGTAAAGTCTTAATATTAGCAACCCCATCTGGCCAGTGTTTGCTTAAACTTAACTTACTGAGGAAGGTTTTCACTTCAAATAGATTCAAAAATGCATTTCGATTTCGGGCTAACAGACTGCCTTTATGCGTGGCAATGAAGTCTGGTCTGCCTCTACATTATTTCCATATTAAACAAACCCAAGTATGCTGGCAAATGATAAAAACAGGAAGTGCAGGTTTTGGAGGTGATTGGGAATTTTCCATGAGAAATGAACACCCAATGGTCTATATAAGAATGTTTTATCTCACTTCAATTATTTTCATGCCAGGTTTTCAAACAGTGAGGCTGCATGGAAGGGCATGGGCTGTTTGCTGTCCTGTCGTACCCAAAGCAAAGACTACCATCTAGGCCTCCCCATGCCAAGGGACTGTCTGAGCACTGTGCCATGTGCTCTGTGTTCTCAAAGGTTACTAGTGATTTAATCCTCTGTCTTCCAGACTCCGTATGTGGCTAAACTATTTCTTTAGAGACTGTCTCCCATGCACCTCCTTAGCAGCAGGATGCCTAATATGTAGGAAACCATGGTGGGGAAGCAAGAGGGACTTTCAGTGGGTAGCCATGGTCCAAAGCCCACCACTCATCTCCTTGTAGCAGGACAGGCAGGAGGCTTACAGAAGTAAGCTTGCAGAAGCCTTTTCCAAAGGTTTGGAAAAGGAAGTCCTTCACTCAATTCATACAGCTTTGTTTTGCTTAGGTTGCTGTTAGATTCCTGAGGAGTCCCAGTTACAGCAGGCAGGAATAGCAGAGGGGAAGAAGCCAAGCAGCCACTTCCCATGATGTGTTAGGCTGTGGTCCTTCACACTCCTTTTTTTTTAATGGAATGTGGTAGTCATTGACTCCAGCCTTTACTGAGGCATGTGTGTTGGTTTTGTTCTAATCCTAGTGTCGCTTATATGACCTTCGTGCAGACAGAGAAGTAGCAATTTATTCCAAAGAGAGCATCATTTTTGGAGCATCTAGCGTGGACTTCTCTCTCAGTGGTGAGTCCTGAACTTTGGAGGTTATCTTAGTGCTGCAATTTGAGGGGAACTATAAAGTTTTACCAGTTTAACTTGGTAAAGCATTTGTTATTAAAAGTAATACTAAGTACCAAAGGAAACATTTAATATATGGAAGACTCTTTTTGTCTCTGTAAAAGGAATTACTCCTTGAATAACCTCACTGGCTATTGCTTTGTTGTAGCAATGAAAAGTATTTTCCTGGCCCTTCTGAAGGCAGGAAATATTTTGTCATTAACTACAGCTGGGCTAGAATTTCACAATAATGACTAGAAACATTTCAAAGGAAACAAGAAATGTAACTAGACTATGAGGCACACTTACACAAATAGCATTTAAAAGGATAGTAAATGACTAATAGTTAACGTATGTTAGAGAAGCATGAAGACAGATATATTACCACTTATCACGGCAGATCTGGAGACATGAGCTCGAGTCTTCTCCCTCCTGCCCCAGCACAAATGCAGATTTGCATGGGGATGAGTGGGTGGTGAACTGCCATCCCCCCTGGCACAGAGGCAAATGTCTCTGTCATGGTCACAAGCCCACAGCTCATCCCCTTAGGGACAATGAATCACTTACCAAATTGTCTACTAATCATTCAACCATTTGTATTCAAGTAAAGTCTGAGCAAAATATCATTACCCTGCATTGGCTTTTGAAGTGCTCTTCAGTCTGTTGTGATTTGGAGTCATCCCCGTCTCTAATGACTGAACAGATTCTATATAATTTAATTAAATTTAACTGTATTTTTATCTAATGCATTTTCATTGGTTCAGCTTTCAGTATGGCTAGCTCAGCAGTGGAGCAGGGCTGCCTAACAGGAGCACAGCTAGCCTGGAGGAGCAGTGGTCAAGGCTTGCTGTGTGCAGAGAGTGGCATGGGAAAGCTGGCTTGTGACTCACTGGGTGATGGATGTCCTGCAGAAGGCCCTTGCTGCAGGCAAGACGTTCCTTAAGACCTCACTTTGTAAAATCCCATTCTCTTTGTAGGTCGCCTGCTGTTTGCAGGCTATAATGATTACACCATCAATGTCTGGGATGTGCTGAAAGGGTCCCGGGTATCCATTCTGTTTGGACATGAAAATCGTGTCAGCACCTTGCGGGTCTCTCCGGATGGGACAGCATTCTGCTCAGGCTCCTGGGACCACACGCTCCGAGTAAGTGTTGGGGGCAGCTACTTTGGGTGCTTCTTTCCTTCTTTGATTGTTTAAAAAGAGGGGGTGAGTGGGAAGATTGTTACAATAAAATTGACTCTAGATTGACTAACAAGGCTGTAAAAACATAGTGTAAAGCGTGAGCACAAAATTCCAATTTAAATATCCCCACAAAGTGCGAACAGAACTGTTGAGTTTTGAACTTGTGATTAAATAACATCATCGCTGCTGATGCTCTGTATGACTAACCTGACTGCCTTGCCAAATTCTGATTAAACATTTGATAGCGAAGTCAATGTCATAAATGATTGTTCAACTCTCTCTCTGCAGATCTGGGCTTAACCTGAGATCCTGTATGCAGAATTGAGTGAAGACTGAAATCCTGGAATACAAAAACTGCATAAAACCACCACTCCTCAAAATCAAATACTTGCTATACCACAAAAGAGTGACATCAAACCCACAGGCTAACACAGCTAGGTAGAAAATGCAATCTGCTTGATCATATAGCAAGCACCAACCTGTAGTAAAATGCAATATTTTTAATTCTGTTTTGAAACTATCTTCTTTTATTAGAACTAGTTTAGATAATTAAAAAGGGACTTTTCTCTGAAGTCACCTGTATCATAGAATTGAGTATTTCAGTGCACATTATGTATTTATTTGCATGAATTCAGTTCCTTTTTAAAGTAAAAAGAAAAAAAAAGTTTAAAGAAAAAAAAAAGTTTAAAAAAAATCCTGATTTCTGATTTTTATCAGGATGTAGCATAAGACTTTGGAAACATTCCGTAGTAGCTCATTGAATTCTGGTGGTGAAAAGTGGAAAGAAAATCAATTCTGATACTTTATGGTGGTGTTATGAATGACTGAACCTTGGTAGTAAGTAGAAGAGCAAAGGACCTACTGTGAAGGTACTGGCTGTTGTCATAAAAATGTATTTTTTGTACAGAAAAGGAATCCTTTCAATCCCTGTTTTTTCCTACTGTCTTTTTAGATAGAAATAAGTATTTCATCTCTGTTACCTGAATATAAAGAATCTAAATATATATAAACTGATAAGCTGCAAAAAGGAGGGATATAAACATGATTTACTTAATCATGAGGTAATACTTAACCAGTAGTTTCTTAGAAATTTTTAATTGTATCACTTGGTGAGTGAATTTTCTTTTACTTAAAGGAATATTACATGCTAAGCACTAAGGGATACTATCCGCTGAGCGCTGAACACTGTTATACTGATGCTCAAATCTTTTCCAAGTCAGTCATAGTCATTCTACTGTCATGATTCTTACTTGCATTTTGAGCAGTTCCTACCATTTTGGCAGGGCACTGTAGCTTACAATGTGCATTGAGGCAGTATATTCCCATTTTAAGGCCCTTCTGCAGTGTCGGAGCAGTGTAAGTTCCTGCAAATGCCTGTCAAACCTTAGAAGTCCAGTTGTACAGTCCTTACTCCAACAGTAATCTCCTACTACTAGCATGGACATAGTTTTGTCGTATTTAGAGTTGGGAATTCACAACAGTGAGTTGTTGAAAACCTGCTGTGAGCACGGTTCTGTCAGCATTTGACACCGTGCTCACCAGAGCATCTGATCCAGGAACTGCTGGGCTTCAGGAAAGCAGTACAGCCGCATTGCTGGCAGCACCTAGCCCTCTGTGTGAGCATGGTAATGCAATACAGACTGGCAGGACTATGCCTGTGAGGAGCTGACGCTGTAGAATGAAGATTTAATCAGATAAAGCTAAGATACAGTTATTTATAGAACTACTGGGAAATTATATCTGCATATATACATTGGAAGCTATTGAGTGTGTCACCCGAGCAAAGGGACATAGGGAGCAAAGTGCTGGAGTAATGCTGGGGGCTTGCATGGTCTGGCCTTTGAAGTGCAAGTGGTGAGATACGTCTCTGAAAAGATTAAAGATATGGTTTATATTTAGATTGAAACAAGAGAAAATAAGCTCACTGGAGTGGCCTTGATCACAAGCTCACTGATCACTGGAATTGACTGTTCACCCAAGTTTGATAATATCCTCATTCTATTTGAAAATGGGATTTCTTTACAATTCTATCAAAGTTGTGTTAAGAACAAAGCCTCCTCATTCAGGAAAACATTAGGTTCCATGAATCCACAGTTACCCCAGGACACTGACATTTGTGTGAGCCTTCACACTTTAATGAAATAGTCCAGCTGTTCTCACTTGGAAAAGCCAACTCTGATGCTTTGCGATGTTTGTGGCAAACTATCCCTGTAACAAACTGCACTATGGAAATGTCATATAGAGCTCACTGTGCAATACTGAGTCAATACACTGTACACATCTGATCAAAAGATTAATATTAATGTTTAGATAGTATTTATTGGTAAGATGTTTGTTTCAAACATACTACATTGTGTTGATACTTATGAATGGCCTAAATACAATAAATTGTATTTTACATATTGAGAACATGTATATACTAGTTTTTTACATCAGTTAGGTATTTGTAATGGTAGCTATTTTTCCTGTTTGGGGGATTTACTTTTTGCATCATACAGTTTCTTAGATCATTTGTCCTGCAAAAATCTAGGGTGAAATCCAGGTAGGCTGACTATAAAATTGCTTCTGGAATATCTTCTGGAAATACCCAAGGTGAGCCACGGCAACTGAGTCCTTGAAAGTACCTGAAACTCCACATGAGCTCTTTCTGCATTAAGGAAGCCAGCATTCAAGTTGTGCTTTCCTGCTCAGAAGGATCACAGCTAATGTGATGTTTTCTGTGCAGATCCAGTATGTGTTTTGTGGGAGCGCAGGATTCTCCTCGCTTTGCAGTGGGACACCAGTGATAGCTGGGCAGTGACACACTGTTGAGGGCTCAGGCTCTCACTATTTGGGTAAACCAGATGTGCAGATCTTGTGATTCGCATCTTGAGATGCAGCAGTTCAGCCTTGTCAGTAGAGGAGAATTGTGCTGGGGTCAGCTGTCCACTTCCATGTAGGTTTTGTGGTCAGCATGAAGTTGGCTGGTGGAAGTGCTCAGTTTAGATGCTGAAAAAAACCCACATCCTTAATTTAGGCACATTGTTTCATTTCCTTCCCTCTGAGGGGAAAAGTGCTGAGCTGGCTTGTTCTGAGTGACAGCAGTACCCAAACCGTCACCAGTTCTAGCGCAAATGAAGCTGGCATCACATCTTGCACCTCTGTTCTTAAGAAGGGAGAATTCCTGTGGTTCTTGCACTTCTGGGGCAGTAAGCCAGGCTTCATGGACTTGCCCCATGTGGAAACCACCTTTTTGCTCCTGAGGGAATAGTGAAAGCCATGAGCCAGAACGAGCTTCAACTTCCCATCAGATAAATGAAGACAGAGGAACAGGGCACTTACGTATCCACTGTAGCTCTTACTCACTAAAGGTTGGCCAGGGAGACTTTGGAAAACCCAGTGGTTTGAAACTCCCCCTTCTATCTGGGAAGCTATTTGTGTCTCAGAAATGCTTCTCTTCCTTTCCAGGAGGAGAGGTTTTAACCTGCCTCTTGTCCTTTCCTCAGCACATCGCAGCCTTGGAGAACAGCCACAGCAGCTCTGGGTGCAGCAATGGAGCAGCAGTGTCACATCCCAGAGCTCCAGCACTAGCCCTACCTTCTTGACCCGAGATGAGGTGAAGTAAAGCAGCCCCAAAAGGCTACACAAGCAGGATGTAACCAGGGTAAATGTATGGAAGCAAGCTATAGCCCGGGCAAAGTCACTATCGGACGGCTCCATCCTGTTAAACAGAAATGCTATATAAACAGGAAGGGTGGAAAAGGATATTGCAAGAGAAAGAGCAGCCTCTCCCTCTTGCTCTCCTGCTGTGAGGAATGCAATAGGAAATTCCTGCCGCAAGATTAACAATCGTAAGGAAAACTCTAGTTAAAAAAGCATGTGTGTAAAGCACTGGTGACAAGTAAAGCTATTCCAGCTCCTGCTCTAGCACATAAACACAGGCTTGATTTCCCTGCTTCAAAACAAAACAAAAGCCAAATATGGGGATGTAAAACTAAAACTTTGCCTTGGGAATGACTCTGAGAGATCAGGCCAGTTCTTGATAGTGATCTGAGAAACTGCAACAGCATCTATTTTTAGATTTTCTAGCAGGGATGTGAAATGGAGACAGAGAGCTGCGACTCGAGATAGATGCAGTGAAGCTGAGCAGTCCCATGCCAACACGTTGGGCACCCAGATCCTGTTGCATGAGGTGACAGCTTGCCCCCATCCCAGGCTGTTGTGGCAGCACCTCTCCCAGTGCTGGTACGGGGCTGTGTGGGACAGCCTGGTCACAGGCCACCACCTGAACCTCGCCAGCAAACCAGCACTGAGCAGGAAGCACATGTTGGGTGTACCTGTGCTGTCTGCCATAAATCCCAGTGTGGTGTTTATGGGAGTCTTGGTATCTGTTAAGGAGCTGATGGTACTCCCAGCTCGAAGGGCACAGCTGGGATACAGGGGTGGCATGTGCCTGAGATGTCTCCATGGTGCTGTGCAAACGACACGGCTTGGCCAGTGTTGTTCTCTGCCATTTTATTTTACACCAGCAGTGAAGGGCCAACCTTTGTACCACAAAGGTCCTAATCCTCATTTTTGTCTGTGAATCCACCACAGCAAACGCCACTGCATTTGTTTGGTAAATAGGCAACGCGCTCATCCTGTGGCCCTAGAAAACCTGACGCGCTCTGACGCACATCATACCCTGATGTGTGTGTGGGAAACTGTGAATAAAGAGGTATCTCTCCGCCCGCATCTGGTAACCCCGCGGTTTGCTGCTGGGGGGGACACCCCCGGCTCCGTGCAGTCCGTGCCCTCCGCAGACCCACACCGTGGGGGAGCCCCGCTGTCCGGGACGTGCCGCTCGGGGCGCGCCTTCCCCCACTCCAGGCTCGGCTTTCCGCCGGGCCCCGCCCCGGAGGAGGGCAGCGCTGCCCATCGCCCCGGGGCTGGGCCGGGCGGAGGGGCCGCCCCGCCTCTTAGTCGGCGGCAGCTGCTGCTGCGGGGCCGCAGCTGCCCCTGGGCCGCCGCCATGCCGGGATCGCTGAAGGAGGAGACGGCGCTGCTGCTGGAGGACTACTTCCAGCACCGCAGCGGCGGCAGCGCGCTGCCCCCCAGCCCCACGGCGGCCACGCTGCGGCGGGCGGCGGCCGAGCTGGAACGGCAGGAGCGGGTCTTCTTCCGCTCCTGCGCGCCGCTGGCGCGGGCCGAGCCGCAGGAGGCGACGGCGCTGCTGGAGCGAGTGGCGGTGCAGCTGGAGGCGGACGGCGGCCTCAACTGGGGCCGGGTCCTGGCGCTCGTGGTGTTCGCGGGCACGCTGGCGGCCGCGCTGGACGAGCGGGGCTGCACCGACGGCCCGCGCTGCCTGGCCGCCGCGCTGGCCGCATACCTGGCCGAGGAGCGCGGCGAGTGGCTGGAGGCGCACGGCGGATGGGTGAGCGGGGACGGGGCGGGCCCCGGGACCAGCGAGGGTGGGGAGCGGGAGCCCGGCCCGGGGTGGATAACGGGAGCCTGGCCCCTTTACCCCGCTCGCAGCGCACGGCAAGGCAGCCCCCTGCGCCGCGGGTATCGCTGGGGAAGGGGCCGCCGTGATGCGGGTGATGGGCGCATGCCGCCCCGGACGGAGGCTGCGCAGGGAGCGCGGACCATCTGTGGGGCCTGGGGAGCTCCCAGCGATGGTCGGTGGGGAGATGCGGGGTGCTCAAGGTGCCTGCGGGAGTCCTGTATCGCGCCTTGGTCCGGTTCCATAAAGGTGCCAGTGTCCATCTTAGGGGAACTGCAGCCCCCTGGAAATACAGGAGCTATGTACTGGCTTGTGGGAACAAGGGTTACCTTCTCAGGTCCGCAGATTCTGAGGAGCAGGCTGACACGGGTCTTCTCCCAAGCGTAAACACAAAACACTGATGTACCTGTTCTCAAACACGCCTGGGTACGAAGCCACCCGTCTGCTAGACCTGCTGCTCTGGTTCCTGCTTGTCCTGGAACTGGTCAGGTCGGAGCCTTGGGAAGGTGTGGGCAGCAGCATTAATGTACATTGCAGCATAAAGCGGTGGCTGCTGTTGCTTTCTGCCGCTTGGGATGCATGCTAAAGTACAGCTTTTAAAGCGTCCATGCGGCTCTGCCTGCATTACTGAACAAAACGTCAGCTGTCCCACAGAACTGCACATTCCCTATTTCCAGTCCTAGTGGAATATTTGATGTCAGTACAAATAAGCACTAAAAATAGAAAGGGGAGGGGGAATCAGCCACTGGTTTCGTTGACTTTTCCAGACACCAAAATGAACTTGGTTTTCCAGTGGTCCATCTGACTGCTCAGGACAGCGTGGTTGTTGGCTGCAGTGTACACTGTCACTTGGCAAAATCGCATTGCTTGTTCGCACAAATTAAAGCATAAAGAACAAAGTTCCGGAAGAAATTAAGAGTATAACTTGTTTACATAGACATCTGCGGAGCAGAGTTCAAACACGACCATCTGGAGTTGTATTGCTGCCACTTCTGATTATCACAACTAACGATCTAGGAGAGCAGCTGCCAGTTGCTCTCAGCAGTGTCCACTTGGCCCTTCCAGGAGTGTGTTGTCATCAGTCCTGTATCCACCGAGATGGGACCAGCTTCGGTCTCCTGCCTTTCAAGTGGAAATTTCCATATCCTGTGTTCCAGGTGCTTTCTGGAACTTGAATGAGGGGGAACAATGCTGGCAGCTCCCATCAGAAACTTGTCTAAAAGGGCTAAAATAACGTAATGGCACGCTGAGCATTTTGATAGGAAGGTTGTGATTGTCTGTTGAGCAAGGCATACAAGCACTTGTAACTACTGCTTCTAGTTGCCTTGTGCAAAGGCTCTCACAAAGCATTTTTGTGTGCCCGAGGCTTAGATTTTCATAATTAAATTGATACTTCTATAGCTGACAAACACCATTCTGGGAATGTGAACCAAACTGTGCTCAAAGACGTGTTAAGAGAAATCCAGTCAATTGTAAGCCAACCAACTCAATGTCATCTCTCTTTCTTGCTTTTCTAGGATGGCTTCTGCCGCTTCTTTGGCAGACAGGGATCCGAGACGGCTGAGCAGAGCAGTACCATAAGCAACGCGATCATGGCCGCAGCAGGGTTTGGAATAGCAGGATTGGCTTTTCTCTTGGTGGTGCGGTAGGCTGATGAATGGATGTCACCAGGGGAAGTACTCAAAACTGACAATTTACCAGATTTCACTCTATTTTCTATAGAACAGACCCTCTAAGAAGAAGTTTATATTTTTAAACTGGCTCGGGAAACTGTCTTGCCAAATCCTTGGCTATAAACTGCTTCACTCAATACTCAGTAACAGCACAAACAAATGTGTCCTAAACCACCATTTGTGCATGTTCAAAACCTCTCATCTACAAACATCCTCTGGACTTTCTTATTGAAGATGTAACCTAAGCTTTAGCATGGTTCATGTACTGTAACTTC